TCAGACTGCAGAGTTTCTATCCCCACAGTTCTCTATTTATACCTTCTACAGTGGGTGTCACCAGTCGGGGGTTTCTTCTTCCCATGGGGCTGGCTAGTCTTGCTGTTTATGCCAAGAATAATTTCCCAAAGGCAGTTTCCCTCCAGAAATCCCAGTACACAAGGAAGTTAATTTACACTTTAGCAGCTAGTTCCCAATATACACTCGCAATGATGTTTCATGAATCAGCAGCTTTTCTTTATGACGAAAATTTTACAAGAAGCAGCCAGGAGAAACACTGCCTAAATTATACACTGGGAAGAAATAATACAGCTTATTGCAACAGAAAGCTCTTTATATATTGTTCTTTTATTTAAATTTTTATTTTGTCTTTAATAAGCATGTTTTTCATATGAGATGCTGGGGTGTAGATATCGAAGATCAAAGTGAATGAATGAATAAACATGGAGTTATACTTTAGTAAAGTGAAACTAGTGATGAACCTCTCAGTGGAAAAATCTGAGACATCGTGCTATAAATATTCAGGTCTGGTCCTAATCCTGTGACAGATGCTAGGTCCCATACACTCCTAACAAAGAGAATTGTTAGGCTGTTGAAGTAGAGCAGGGGTTCCCAAACTATAGTCTGTAGATCACTGATGAGCCACATGGAGCACTTGCTGGTAGTCTGTGGAGAGTTGGATGGTTCCCCTCCTCCTTGTGTTCAGCTGAAAACTGCATTAAAATAAGCAAAAAATACATTAAATTATTTCCTTATGTTACTTTTCCCATGTAAGTAATTGCTGTAGATGCCAGCTGGATGTTTTATGACGGTGAGTGAAAGGGGAGATGGTCCATGCAATGGTGAATGGGGGTGGGGTTGTCCATGGACAATTTCCCTGTTAATATTTGTTGCGTGTATGAAAAACTCTGGGAACTCGTGAAATAGAGAATGTAAAACTGGACCGCTGAAAGCACTGGAGGGACAACTGGCTGCCTGCAAGGGGTGGACTAGGTGTGACCGAATAGATCTTTTCCATTGCTAAAGTCTAAGAATCTATACTGAGCAGGGAAGTGACAGTGAGAAGAGCTGTTCTCATTTCTGAACTGCACAGTAATTGGTGTTAAAACATTCTGGACACCACTACCGCTATGATATACAGGTGGGAACTAGAAGAGGATTCACAGAACTGGCACACTACCAAAAAGGCCAGTAACATTTGCCAAGAAGACATCTTAATGCTTGGACGCTTTTCTCTTCAAGTGCACAAAGGCACACGTTCCCTAACAGATCGCAATTTACAAGCAACTATTAGTAGTAATTGGGCTTTGTCTCACCTCCTCCCTCCCCCCAGTTATCTCGTTAAGGGAGAAGTTGTGATGAACCCTAATTTATATAGACTGTGGTGCTGTCAGAGAAGACAGAGAAGGTGTCAGCTGCCACTTCAGAAGAGAGGGGCTTCTTTGCAAAATGTTAGAACTATTTAAACCCAGCCAGAACCTGTGAACAGCTAAGATTCGCTAGCATGAGATATTGTGCTAGGGATCTGGAAGCCCTAACATAGAGATTTAGGAGCAATCAGGAACTCTCTGTATAAGGAGAGGCTAAACTCCTATATCATGTTGCCTGAATGATCAGAGAAAGGGATTCCATATTAGAGAGAAAAGGGTTATTGAAAAACTACTTCCTGCTGTGAGCACCTAATTCTCCAAGTCCTTCTCCTCTGGGATCTGAAAGACAATCCTTCCAAATTCATACCTCTCAAACCATCTCCTGTTTACTGGTAGGAATAGCTATCTCTATTACGCACCCATAATACCCAAGTGCCTCCCAAGTCTTTATGGATTTATCATCATCCCATTCATGTAAGTTAGGGTACTGTGATCCCCATTTAAGTGACTGATTTATTTGTTTAGATTTCAAATGATAAAGGAGATGCCTATCACAAGGCTCTAGATGCCACGTTCATTAATTATGCGGTACATGGAAACCCCCAACAGCATTAAAATAATCATTCCATAGAGAGATGATGTGACTTCCTCAAGGTCACAGAATGAAACTGTGGCAGAGCCAAGAATTACATGCAGGGCTCCTGAATTAGGCTACAGAGCTATAAACACAAGCCAGTCCTCCCTTCAGAAGTGTGCCCCACTCACGCCCGAAATGCAAGTCAGCAAAGACACAATCATGAGGAAAGTTGTAGGGAGGAAAATCTGATTTTCATCGTTTGGAGTCTGGAGTATAATTGGAGTCAGGGTGAGGCTCTGAGGACAAACAGAAATTAATATAATGCTTTTATTGCTTGAAGCTTTGGTTATGCTGTGTAGGATCTCTGAAGAAATTAGCCAATGGCTGTCCTTGGTAAGCAGCTTTTGTGGATGGGGTAACATTTTGATCCCTCTTTCAGAGGTATCATTTTACCACAGCAGAGTTCCACTTTCTTGCCGGCACAGCAAACCTTGCCTGAATTACATGCAGCACAAACAGAGGTTCATTGTCAATTCCATCTTCAGTATTTTAGGGAGATTTTTGTACATTTGTAGTTAGCTGCAGACGCCATTGCTTGACGTACAGGCCCTGCCATGGATCCGAGAGGGAAATACATTTATGTTTGCTACTCATAGGGTGACCAGATGTCCCAATTTTATAGGGACAGTCCCGATTTTGGGGTCTTTTTCTTATATAGGCTCCTATTACCCCCCACCCCCATTCCAATTTTTCACATTTGCTGTCTGGTCACCCTAGCTACTCATCTCATTAACTCTCTCCTGCTCTCTGTGACAGCAAACTGTCCTTTTGCTTCAAAACTTGCAGCATCAGGTGTTACTGTTTTTCCCACCAAAATGATTAATTTCCTGCTGCGCCTTCCCACCGATGGCTTTTTATAACAATGGGCAGAGTTAATTTTCAGGACATCGCTCTCTCTTTGTCTGTCTGGTTCTTTTGTTCATCAAAAGTCCACTATAGAATATTTTCTCTAAGAGCCCTGTGTGCTCCATGAGGAGGGTGTGTCCAAACCAGCAGAACTTTCTTTCGTAAGCATTGCTTCCGTGATGTTTCTGAAACCTTGTTGTACATGATTTTATCTTGTCACTTGTCATAATTACCTTCTACAATTTGAATAATAGCTACCAGGCGTCGTCTATTAAATTTTTCCAGTTCTTTGATGTGTGACAGAGAGTAAGTTGGAAATCAGTACTTTGATTTTTGCATGCGGGTGGGTGTGGGATACTGTGGTGATTGCAATTTTAGTGTTGCAATCCTTCAAATTCAGACTATGCCTTTTTATTGGGTGATGATTCGCTGGTCAGTAATGATCATGTCTGACAAAATTCCAAGCAGATAAAGGAAATCATTACCATGCTGAATTTGGCAACACTAGGTCTTAAATATACCTTCCAAGGTGCCGGTTTTGTACATTACTTCAGTTTCTCTCACACTGGTGGTTAGTTCGTAGCTTTGAGTTATCTCAGCACATTTGTTAGTGATGCAGTGGGGGTGTGGTAGAGCGTGTGCAACAAGAGCAGAATCATCTACTCATAGAAGCTCATCCTTAACCTCCTCGATTTCTTGTCTGGAGGCTTTAATCTGCTTGCAGAGTCTGCCGCTATTTCACGATGCAATAAAAATTCCTGGCATTTACGCACTGGGGGCATCATCGTCGATCAATCATCATGGCAAAGAAGAATCCAAAGAAACTTACATTAGGGAATACCGGGAAGAATGAAGTGGGAGCGAAGGCACAGCTGGTTCACCCTCCTTTTATATTTTCTTGCTGGGATGTGTGTGCAGTGATGGATTGGAATAGGAGACAATGCTGGAGCCTGCAGCGGAAGACGGAATTGTACTGGCAGAGCACTGTGTGAATGTGGGAAGTGAGCAACAGAGCTGTACTATTTAAAGTGCTTGAAACACCTGACATTAAGGTGGTCAGTCCAGTGCAGATAGATTCTGAAATGATTCTTCTGTTTGTATTTAATATTTTTTTAAATATTG